CTGAGGCTGGATTTGAGGTTAAATCTTCATGACTCCAGGCCCAGTGCTGTATCCACTTTGTCACCTAGATGCCTTGGGGCATTCTAGCTTCCTACCTGTCAAACCTCATCCTTGTCACATTACCAAACCATTTTCTCTTCCTATCATATAATTCCTTTTTTTTTTTTAACATCAATTAGTCCTGCCCTTCAAAGCCCCTCATTGGTTTTGTGTTACAGCCTGTTCACACCATGGACCTTTCTTCAGAGATTCTTATATTCCTGTTTTGCTGCCTGATAGCAATGCCAGTAGAATATTGTCATTCAAAAGATGGGGGGGGCAGCTAGGTGGCACAATGGATAGAGCACCAGCCCTGGAGTCAGGAGGACCTGAGTTCAAATCCGGCCTCACACACTTGATACTTGCTAGCTGTGTGGCCCTGGGCAAGTCACTTAACCTCATTGCGTAGCCAAAAAAAAAAAAAAAGATGGGCCTTCACTTTCATGAGAAGCTTAGAGTTATTAAAGGAGTTTTGCAATTTCATGAAGTCAGTTCAGCCCTTTCTCCTTTCTTTTGTTCAATTCTGAGTCCCACTCCTTGTCCTTCTGTACTGAGTATCCCAGCTCTTTAGAATTCATTGTGTATTGGGGGTGAAGCCAAGATGACAAGACTAGTAGGAAGCAGTACACAAAACTCCTCTAAATAGACCTAGAAAATACATCAGACTGAATCCCAAAAAGGAAATCCAGAAGAAATCACAGTGAGTTATTTGTCCAGCTCGAGTCAGCATAGGGAGACATTCAGAAAGGTCAGGACGATGGGGGCCCAGGGAGAAGCTGTGCACCAGGGTAAGAAGAGGTTCCGGACTCAGACTGGGGCACCTTCAGACCCATACCAGGTACCCTGGCAGCTTTTCATCCAGTATCCAGTTCTAATCACAGCTCTGGGGGGACAGGAAAGGGGACCTGTGCCAGGAATAGTGTTCCTAAGTAGAAAGGCCCTGGGCAATATAACCAGAAAGAAAGAAGTTCAGCAGCGGTGGTGTGGCTCAGACCTCTCCCCTGCCCCCAGGAGTAGAGCAGACTCTCAGTTCCAGCATCTAGCCCAGTGTGACCAGGAATAACCAGGGCAGAAATCTCAGACCAAAGAGGAGCCTGTGGTTCTGTCACTGAACCAGCAGAACTTTGCACTGGCTGAGAGGGGCGGGGTCTGGCAGCATATAGTCTTGAGTCTACCAAACCTAAGCCAGAAACTTGCAAAGATCAGACTAGAGGGTAGTAATTAGGCTTTGCCCTGGATCACATCATTTTGAGGGCACTGAAAGCTTTCGGATCTCTAGCCTGTCCCGAGACCCTGGCATAACACAATACTCAACACCCCAAGAAATTAGTAACATGAGCAGCCCAGATCTGCCTTCTAGAAGTGCAGCAGAGCCTAGACCTAAGATCAAGTCCAAAGTCAGGAAATGGGTTGGGAAGAAAGGCAAACAAAAAAAGAACTCCAGCATAATGAGCTATTGTGGCAGCAGGGAGACTCAAATCACATACACAGATGAGAATGATGCTAAAACATCTACAAGCAAAGCCTCAGAAAAATACATAGCTGGGACACAAACTCAACTGCAATTCCTGGAAGAGATAAAGCACAAGTTTTAAAAAGTTTTCATGAATTGTAAATTTATAATTTATTTAAAATTATAATTTTTTGCTAGGTAAAATTTTTTTATTAACCTTTTTTTCAAGCTTTAACTTTAGTCTTGTTCAAGCATAGTTGGGCTGCAAAGAATGAATTGTGTGTAACAATAAATGAAAAGAGCTGTAATGTCTAAAGGGCTTCAAAATATTGGAGATCTAATTCTCCATGTCTATAAACAAATGAAAAAATTCTTGAACAAAAAACTGGAAAAGAAATGAGAGCTATGGAAGAAAGAATTGGAAAGGCAATTAGCAGTTTGGCACAAGAGACACAAAACCTTGCCCAATCAATAATTAGTCAATTAGCAATGACAAGCCAATGGCTCCATGAAACAAGAAATACTAGAAACAAAACTGAAGAAAAAAAAATAGAACAAAATGTAAGGGATCTAATGGCAAAAACAAATGACCTGGAAAAGATTGAAGGAAAAAAAATTAAGAACTATTGAACTATCTGAACTCTTGTGATAAAAAAAAGAACTTAGATATCATATATCAAGAAATCATAAAAGAATACTGCCCAGATAGCACAGAACTAGAGGGCAACGTAGAAAAAGAAAGGAGCCACTAATCACTTCCTTAAAGAAACTCCAAAAATGGAAATTCCCAGTAACATAATAGCCAAAATCCAGAATTTTAGTCAAAGTAAAAATATTGCAAATAGTCAGAAAGAAAGGGTTCAAGTATGAAGTAGCTACAGTCAGGATTATAGATTTAGCAGCCTCCATTTTGAAGGGGTAGAGAACTTGGAACCTCCTTAAGGCAAAAGATATGGGCTTTTAGCCAAGAATAATCTACTCAGCAAAACTGAGTATAATGCTAAGGAAAGGCGGGTATTGGAGGAGGGGATGTTCTAGTGTATGTATATGGAATGGACCTTTAATGAGAGGACTTCCAAGCATTCCTGATGAAAAGACCAGAGTTTCATAAAAACTTTGAAGTTCAAACATAGGAGTTAGGAGAAATATTAAAAGAAAACCATGAAGGAATAACAAGAAACTACTTACATTCAAATATGAGCAGATGATACCTGTGTCTCTTCTGAACCTTATTATCATCAGGAGTCATAGAAAGAATCTGGACAAGGCCTAAGAGTAGAGGGTCCTAAGAGAAGAATGGAAAGAGGGAGGAAAAGGGCTACAATGGGGAGGAGGAGAGTGGAGGAGGAAGAAGAGAAAGGAAGTTTAGGGAAAATTATCTCGCTTAATCAAGGAGTCAGAGGAGGAGCTAACATTTGAACCTCACTCATCTGAACTGGTTAAAGGAAAGAATACACAAACACGCACACACACACACACAGAAATGCATTTCATTTCACAGGGAAATAGCAGGAAGAAGGAAGTAAGGGACAGGGAATTAGCAGGAGGTATGACTGAGGTATTAGTCCTAAGCAAAATAAATTCTAAGGATATACAAAAATACTTATGGCTCTTGAGATGGCAAAGAATCTGAGGGAGAACTCATAAATAGAGGAACAGATGAACAAATTACGCTGTATAAATGTGACAGAATCCTATTTTGTCATAAGAAATTATGAAAGGAATGGTTTTGGAGAAGACTCATATGAATGGATGCAGAGTGAAATGAATGGAATCAGGAGAACAATTTATGCAGTGGCAACAATATGGTAAAAAGAATGATTTTGAAAGAATTAGAAACTCTTATCAGTATAATGACCAACCACAATTCCAGAGGTCTAATGAACCTACCTCTTGATAGAGAGGTGAAAGCCTCAAAGAGCAGAATGAGATTTTTTTTGGATGTGGACAATGTGGAAATTTGTTTTGCTTGACTATACGTGTTTGTAATGGAGTTTTGTTTTCCGTTCTTTTTTTTTTTCCAGTCAGAGACAAGGTTTACTAGAACATCCATAATATTGGGCAGACTCTTAAGGAATCTAAGCATTTGTATCGCTATTGAAAGTGGGCCAGATTTCAAGAATCTGAGCCTTGGCTAGGTTATAAGAATCTGAGCACCTTAATGGAGATAAGATGGACCTTTTATACAGAAAGACTGTGGGAGAGATCTAAGGATCCAAGGGAGAATGGAATCTGGATAGGATAAAGGGTGGGAAGTGTCCAGGGGCAACTGGGATTTCCTTTTGTTCTTAAGCAGGGAAGGAGGGGCAGCTAGGTGGCGCAGTGGATAGAGTACCAGCCCTGAAGTCAGGAGGACCTGAGTTCAAATCTGGCCTCAGACCAAACACTTGACATGTACTAGTTGTGTGACCTTGGGCAAGTCACTAAACCCCAACTGCCTTAACAAAAAAAAAAAAAAAAAAAGGAACTTTATGATGTGGGAGGTAGGAGAGAGTGAATTCCAGGCACATGGGAGAGCTGGGAGATGGAGCGTTATGAGTGAAGAAGAGAGAAGGCCAATTTCCCTGAATTAATCAAAGAAAACTGATATCTGGAGAGATCAGTTGTGGCCAGATTGTGTAGGGCATTTAAAGAGTTTAGATCTTATCCTACAGACAATTAGAAGCCACTGGAGTTGACCGAATTGGGGAATCCCGCGGTTATAGCTATGCTTAAGAAAAATTACCTTGGCAGCTGAATGCAGCGTGAATTGGAGAAGTGCAAGGGTGGGGAACCTGCAGCCTTGAGGCCACACGTGGCCTTCTAGGTCCTTGGGTGCGACAATCTGTTCTGTGAAGTTTGGATTCCATCAAAGAGCCCAACTTGAGGACCTAGAGGGCCACGTGTGGCCTCGAGGCTACAGGTTCTCCACCCCTGGAGTAGTGAGACTCCAGTTAGGAGGCAGTTGCATAATCTAGGTGAGAGGTATTGAAGAAATGGTGGCCACGAGTGGAAAGATCTTGGTGATTCTCCTAAAGCACAGGCTGGATGATGTGATCCCCTACTCGATAAACTCCAGTGATACCCTGTTCCCCCAGGATCAAATATGACATCCTCTGCGCAGCATTTCAGGTCCTCTATAACTTGAGCCAATCCCAGTTTTCCAGGCTTCTTACACTTCACCCTTTACTGTCCTCCACATACTCTAGGATTCAACACCACTGACTTACTTGCTGTTCCTTACACATGACACCCCATCTTCACATGCATGCCTCTGTGCTGCTGTCTCCCATGCCTGAAATACTCTCCAATAGATAGAGGACTAGACCTGGAGTCAGGAAGACATGAGTTCAAATTCAGCCTCAGATCACTCGTTAGGGATAGCCTAGAAGGGCTACCTAAAGACTGGAGGCCCCATCAAGGTTTGAGGGGGCTATGATTTCACACACTGTGTAGCCGGGCTCAAGTATCCTTCCCTGCTCGCTCCATCCATCCACCCCCTGAATCCAGACAAAGATAGATACCTCGCTGCTATTCCTGAGATTTTATTACAAATTAACAGGAAGGGGAGAAGAGAGAGACACAAAGCAACAGTCCTTCCCATCGCTCCCCTCCATCAACTTTCTCAACAATTTCTATAAGTCAGCAACTGTCTCCAACCCCCTCTCATGGAAGAACCGGTGGGACTGTCGTTCTGTGGGAGCCTGTGTACGGGCAAAGTAGGACAGAAGGGAGGGGGTGCCAGAACCCCTGCCAGCAGCTGGTGGGCCTCCCGCCTCTTCCTCTGAGTCCTCCCTGCATGGGGGAGGAATGTGCCATAGTTTAGGCAGATGCACAAGCCAGAGTGATTCCCACCACTCCAGCCTTCTCCCCAACCCTCCACCAATCCCTAGAGGCCCCGAATGGCCTCTAGCCACCTGGCCCAAGAGTGCTGAGGTCAACATGTTGCCAGCCAGCTCCTTTGTTCCTCCCCCAAGGGGGCTCAGGGTCACCCACCAGCGAACAGGCACAGCACGTCCATCCAGAATGAGCTGAGCAGTACTCCAGCTAAAGCGGACGAACTGGGGAAAGCCAAAAACGGGGTCCAGGCACTGGGACAGCCACTCCTTGGTCTTGGGGTCTGGGAAAGAAGGAGGGTCACAAAAGAAGGGTCATGGTTGGGCAGGTCCAAACCAGGTGGAATAAATCTTGGGATCTGGAGGACCAGGATTCTGGGGTCCATTAACACATAGTCCCCCTGTGAGCCCTCCTGTGAGCTTCAGTTCCCTCATCTGTGATGGTCAACCACACTTGCTCCTGCAGATACTCCACCCCCTTAATTCTGCTCTTTCTGGGTTCCCCTTCCATCTGCCTAACTATTCCTCAGTCTCCTTTACTGGACAACCATCTGGTGTCTGCTCCCTAATCAATTAATTATTGGGTCTTTTTAAAAACATCTGCTACATGCCAGGCACAGTGATTATAGAGAGAAAAAAGAAAACGAACCCTGCCCTCAAGGAGCTTACATTCTAACCAGGGAAAACAGCACATACCTATACAGGTATATACAACACAAAGAGAAATGATACTAGCATTCATATAACATTCTAAAGATCCCAAAGAGCTTTTCACATCATCTCTTTTGAGCCCCAACAACCCTGTGGAGTGGGTGTACTTACTATCTATGCCATTTTACAAATGGGGAAACTGAGGCTCAAAGAGATTTATCAGAATCACACAGTAAGTATCTAAATCAGGATTTGAACTCGGGTCTTTTTGACTCCAAGTCCAGGGTTTTATCTGAAGTGCCACCTACCTACCTTTACAGGCTTATCTGAGAGACTTACCTGCACATACAAGGTGATTTTCAGGGGAAGTCCCGGGAGGACACCAAGAAAGGTCTCAGCATCTAAGCTGAACCTTGAACAAAATGAGGGGCTGGGATTCTGACAGATGAAGGCTGAGGAAGAAGTGCACTACAGAAGCGGGTGGTGGCCAGTAAAAATGTAGGAAAGCCAAACATGGAGTGCTGGGCACACAAAACAGCAGGAAGGGCGGGTCTGCCTGCACCAAAGTGGTTAGAGAGAGGAGAGATTTGCAAAAACAAAGGAAAAGGGGACAGCCAGGTGGCACAGTGGATAGAGCACTGGCCCTGGAGCCAGCAGGACCTGAATTCAAATGCGGCCTCATAATCCTTCCTAGCTGTGTGACTCTGGGCAAGTCACTTAACTCCAATTGCCTCACTAAAGAAAAAAAAAAAAGAAAGGAAAGGACAGGTGAGAACAGGACTGTAAAAGGCTCTGAATGTTGAGCAGAGGAGTTTATAGTGGATCCTGGAAGTAATAGGGAGCCACTGGAGGTTAACAGGTAGAACGGTGAGTTGGTCAGATTTGTACTTTAAGAAAATCAGTTTGACAGCAGTGTAAAGGATGGATTGGAGAGTACAGAGACGAGGCAGACACCCCAATGAGAAGTCTACTGCAATTAATCTAACAGCTCAGAGGAGAGCTGATAAGGGGCTGAACTAAGGTGGTTTGGGTGCGAGTGGAGACATGGAAGTAGAGAGAAGAGATCCTGTGGAGGAAGAAACAAGATCTGAAAACTAAATGAAACATCACACCCATCAGACCGGCCAACATGACAAAACAGAACAATGACAGATGTTGGAGAAGATGTGGGGAAATCGGAACACTAGTGCATTGTTGGTGGAGTTGTAAGTTGATCCAACCATTCTGGAGAGCAATTTGGAACTATGCCCAAAGGACTATAAAACTGTGCGTACCCTTTGACCCAGCAATAGCACTTCTGGGGCTGTATCCCAAAGAGATCATAACAATGGGAAAAGGACCCACATGTACAAAAATATTTATAGCAGCTCTTTTTGTGGTGGCAAAGACTTGGAAATTGAGAGGATGCCCATCGATTGGGGAATGGCTGAGCAAGTTGTGGTATATGAATGTAATGGGATACTATTGTGCTATGAGAAATGATGAACAGGTAGACTTCAGAAAAACCTGGAAAGACTTGTATGGACTGATGCTGAGTGAAGTGAGCAGAACCAGGAGAGCATTGTACACAGTAACAGCCACAATGTGAGATGACTAACTTTCATTGCTCTTCTCAGCAATGCAAGGATCAAAGACATCTCCAAAAGTCTCATGATGGAACATGCTGTCCATATCCAAAGAAAGAACTATGGAGTTTGAAGGAGGATCGAAGCATACTACTTGCTCTCCTTTTTTGTGTTGTTTTGTTTTGTTTCTTCTTTCTCGTGGTTCTCCCATTGGTTCCAATACTTCTTTACAACATGACTAATGTGAAAATGTTTAATATGAATGTATATGTAGAGCCTATATCAGATTGTACACTGTCTTGGGGAGGGGAGGGAGGGGGATAAAATTTAAAACTCAAAAGTTTATGGAAGTAAATGTTGAAAACTAAAAATAAATTAATTAATTAAAAGGAAAAAAAAAGAAAACTAAGTAAATAGGGACAGCCAGGTGGCACAGTGGATAGATCACCAGCCCTGAAGTCAGGAGGACCTGAGTTCAAATCCAGTCTCAGACCAGACACTTGACAGTTACCAGCTGTGTGACCCTGGGCAAGTCACTTAACCCCAATTCCCTCCCAAAAAAACAAACAAACAAACAAACAAAAACTCTCTCCTGTTTCATACCACCAACTGCTCACTGGTGAACTCTACCACCACTGTCCCAACCAAACCTCCGCCTCCCACATCTCCACAAAGAATTTATCATCTCCCCTAGCCCCATCTCTAAAACTTTGCTGTTTTTTTAATTTAATTTTTAATTTAATTAAAAAAACTTCACCATCCTTCCACTAGCTCAGATTTACAGCATCAGCCTTGCTTAGCTCTCTTTCCTCTCTCCCACCCCCCACATCTAATCATTTGCACAGCTGTTGATCCTGTCTCCACAACATCTCCTATACCTATTTGGCCTCTTCTCTAGTCACATGGTCACCATCCTCATTACATTTCCTCTGAACTACTCGAACAGTCTCCTAAATGGTCCTTTGGTTTCCAGTATCTACCTTCTCCAACCCACCTTCCAAACAATCGCCAAAAAGTCTCTGGTGGCTCTCCAGTGATCCTAGGGTAATATAGAAAGCCTGCCATTTAAAGCCACTTCACAGTTTGGATTCAGTCAAAGGGTTGAACTTGAGGACCTAGAGAGCCATAGGTGGCCTTGAGGCCAAAGGTTCCCCACCCCTGTCTTAGACTCTCTAGTTTCCTTTGAGGCTCCTAAAGAAAATCTTCCCTGATCTCACGTTACACCCTCCCAATGTAAACTCGAGGGATAGAAAGAGAAACATTTCATTTTTGTCTTTGTCTCTCCGGCACCTAGCGTGGTACAAGGAACACAGCTGAATTGTTTAATAAATGCTGGCTGAGTTGAGCTGAGCACTGGTTTGAGAATCAGAGAATCTCTGGGTTCCAGTCTCATTACTCTCATTTACTCTCTGAGTGATTTTGGAGAAGTCCCTTCATTTCTCTGGGACTTGGTTTTTTTAGATATAAAATGATGGCATCGGATGGACAATATGATCTCCATGTTTATTTCCATCTCAGACTTTGTCTCATGCCCCCTTGTGGCCATATTACAGGGTGGTCCCCTCTTTAACCCAGTCTTAGCTTCACAGGGGAAGGGGGGGGCGGTGGGGGGAAGGCCACTGGTTTGACTTTGACACTCACCATTGGGATAGCCAGACCCATAATCCATTTTCAGGTTCCCGAGGTCTTCCAGAAACTTCCATTTCTTCACGACGTGGTCTCGAGCAACCTGGAGGGGGTAGGCTAGGTAAAGGTGGGTATGAGGCCAAAGGCAGGTTGGTACATCTCTCTTGTGGGTATGTAGTAGGCACTTATCTGGGTCTGGGGAGTCCAGACAACACGATGGGAGGGGAACTCACCTTGGCACAAATGCTGGCAGCGCTGACCACAGGGAAGAGGGAGTCAGCTTTGGGTCGAACAGTCACCTCTATCTCTGGAAACCTCTCCTGAAGTTTTTGCTGGTACTTGTCAGCCGGTCCCACTGTATCCACAAACACCTGGAGAGACCAGGGGATAAAGGTCAGAGTAGGGGAAGCCCCAATTGGCCCAACTTCCCCCTACCCCATAGGTGCCACTGACCTGAGTGACCCTCACACCCTGATCCAGAGCCAGCTGCACCAAGGCCATGGCAGTGTCGTGAGAAAGGGAGTTCAGGTTATACTTGGCCCTAGGAGGAAACACATGGATATGCTCATACCCTGCAGGGCCCCAGCTCTTATTAAAGGGCAATTAAGTATCTTTGTTGAGGATACTTAAGGATTCCCACCACCTAACTTGAGCCTGGCGTGACTTTGCCTTTCCAAGGCAGGGTCTTGAAACCTCATAGACCTTATGGCTGGAAAGGACTTTAGACAGCAGCCAATTACCTCATTCATTTAACAGTGGGAGAAACTGAGGCCCAGAAAGGAGGAAGGAACTTGTTCAAAGTCACACAGCTGCTAAGTGGGGAAAAGGGGGAAGCAATGTCATAGAGTGAAGAGGGTATTGGAATTGGAAACAGGAAAATCAGGATTCAAATTCTGCCTCTGACATTTACTAGGTAGATGGCCTTGAGCAAGAAGTTAAGAGTTCTCTGAGGGGCAGCCAGGTGGTATGGTAGATAGAACTCTGGCCTTAGAATCAGGAAGACCTGAGTTCAAATCTAACCTCAGACACTTGACACTAGCTGTCTGACCCTGGGCAAGTCACTTAACCCTGACTGCCTTACAAAAAAAAAAAAAAGCCTCTTAAGTCTCTTCCAGCTCTAAATCTGTGACCCTATGACTCAAACTCAGGTCTTTTGGAGACCTTACTGTATTTCAAAGGCTATAGAGGAAGAATGACTAAATTCAATGAGAGTGAGCCACTTTGGAGTGGATCGAAGACATGTCTTACAGTCAGGAAGAACTGGGTTTAAATCCCACCTGAAAAACTTCATAGCTTATGTTTGGTATGACTTCACAGGGATAATCTATATCAAATTGCTTGCCTTCTCAAGGATCAAGGAGGAGAAGGAGGAAGGGAGAGAATTTTGAACTCAAAATTTAAAAAAAGAATGTTAAAAAAAAATTTTACACTAATTGAGAAATATTTAATGAAATAAAACTATATTGGGAAAACTTGATAGCTGTGTAACTATAGATACATGGGCATTTAACCTCTCTGTGCCTCAGTTTCCTCATCTGGGGTTAGCTAGGTGACACAGTGGATAAAGCACCAACCCTGAAGAGGACCAGAGTTCAAATCCGGCCTCAGACACTAGCTGTGTGACGTTGGGCAAGCCACATAATCCTGTTGCCCCCATACACAAAAAAAGCTTTTTTCATCTGGAAAATGAAGGAACTTTATACTCTATGATCCCTTGCAGTTCTGAACCAATAATCTTTAATAGTGTAGAGGCCATGTTAGAGTCAATCTAAGGAAGTACTTTCTAACAGGGCTATACAAAAGGGAAATGAGCTTGCTCAGGCAGGGTTAAGTAGGTTTTACTCTACTTGAAGTTGACGAGCAAAGGATGGGTGACCACTCCATGGAGGGGATGTTGGGTAAGGTATGTGTTGAGCTAGAAGATGATGCCCAAGATCCCTTTCCAGCTCTGAGACCCTATACCCCGAAATCTAGTGTTCTTGACATTACCCAGGTTGAGTGGCACAAGGGTCAAGTTGCTGCCCACCCAAGAACAGCCCTCACCGCCTCTGCATGCTGGTGGAGATGAGGTTCGGGGACAGAATGTCCAAGGCCCAGCCCACAAAGCTCCGGGCCTGATCTAGTTTCCCAAAGAGTCTCTCCCTCTCTGCTTCCGATAGGGTCTTTGAGTCTGTCAGGGTGGAAAAGAGAAGAAATGCAAGGAGGGGAGGCTTAGTCACAGGGGCACAATCCTGTCCCCACCCCCCACCCCATACCCCATACCCCACATACTTTTCCTTTCCAGGAAAGCCAGTAGTGCAGGACTCACCTGCCACCTTCAGGGCCTCCAGGTTGCTCAATTTGGACAAGGGGCAAAAGCAGATGCCGTAGACCATGGGGCCTGGCAAAAGGTGAGAGCTAGAGTCAGATGCCTTCGGGTCCGAATCTTGGATCTTGACTCCCCCAGGCCAGAGCCTACTCTCCAACCACGGCCAACCCCACAGCAGTCCTTTAGCCCAACTGCTCTACAACCAGGGCCCACCTCCAGGGGGCAATTTGCCACCCCTCAGAAGTGCCCATCCTGGAGCAACCCCCAGCCCCACTGCAACCCACCCCTAGCCTAGAGCTCACCTGTCCTACAACCGATGCATCCCACAGCCCCCGTGCAATACGCCCTAGCTCGAAGCCCACCCCAGGACAAGCCCGGATGCAATCCTCCCCTCCCCGCCCCAGCACGCAGGCTCCAGCCCGGGCCCCAATCCCACCCAGAACAGGCCCTCGGCCGGCCTCATCGATGCCCAGGCAGCAGTCCTCGGTGCGGCACAGCTCCGGTACGGGCGAACTCAGACGGCAGCTGCCTGTGTTGTCCCGCTCAAAGTCTCCCAGATCCATGCTCCCAGCAAACCAAGCAGTCTCGGACACTGGCCGGGAGATCCCGCAACTAGCACAGGTCTAGGCGGGCTCCCCGCCCCCGGAAACGTCTGAGCCAATCCTGAACTAGCTGTATATCCTCGTAGCTTCCTGGGAGTTGTAGTTCATCAGCAAGAGCGCCACCTAGCCGTGCGTCCCAGGTCAATCACAGATTCACTAAGCATTGTAAAAGGATTTGGAAACGAAGAAACCTAGAATTTCAGGAACTGGGAGGGAGCTCAAAAACCACCTGATCCAAGCTCTCCTCTTAAGCATGAATCTCCCGTCGAACATCATCCACCTGTATCCATCTATAATGCTTTTTTGACTGACTACTGACTAACTAAAGCTCTCCATTGCCAAGAAGTAACTTCCCTGCTTAACACACACCAAGGCACTGCCCTATGTAAAAAGTCCCAGAGGCTCGCTATTGCTTCTGTTACAAAATACCAACTCCTTTGGAATTTAAAGCCCTTCACGACCTGACATCCATCTTTCCAAGCTTTTTACACTTTATGGACAGCCAGCCAAACTGGCTTACTTTGTTCTATCCCTCACACATGACCTATCCTACGTCCCCTGACTATACAGCTCTGAAATGCAGTCTTTCCTCACCTTCACTGAGAATCTTTAGCTTCACAATTCAGCTCAAACACCATCTCCTACGTGAGATGCTGCCAGATCCCCTAACTCTGCCAGTGCTTTCCACTCCCTCCCCAGTGAATTAATTTTGTATTAACTTTTTTTCCCCCTTTTTAGGCAATTGGAGTTAAGTGATTTGCCCAGGGTCACACAGTTAGCAAGTGTTAAGAGTTTGTTCTGAGACCGGATTTGAACTCAGGTCCTCCTGACATCAGGGCCAGTGCTCTATCCACTGCACCACCTAGCTGCCCCTTATTAACTTTTTAATATACATATACAGACATACATGTTACATATGTATAATACATCTATTATAGACACAGTCCCCCCTCCCCAGGACTGTAAGATTCTTAAGAACAGAGACTCATTTTTGTTTGTATTTTCAGCTTCTGCTTAATACATGTTTATTGACTGAGTAGTCATTCATTGTATTGATCTAGTCCAACCTCCTCATTTTACAGGTGAGGAAATTGAGAACCAGAGAGGGAAAAGGACTTGCCCAATGTCACAGAGTTATTATATGCAGCCAGAATTCTAACCCAGTTCTTTTGGCTCAGTCTCAGGGGTAGCTAGGTGTCCAAATGGAGTGGATAGAGAGCTGGGATAGAGTGGATAGAGTCAGGAAGACTCATCTTTGTGAGTTCAAATCTGGCCTCAGACACTTTCTAGCGGTGTGACCCTGGGCAAGTCGTTTAACTCTGTTTGCCTCAGTTTCCTCATCTATAAAATAAGTTAGAGAAGGAAATGGAAAACCACTGAAGTATCTTTGCCAAGAAAACCCCAAATGGGGTCACAAAGAGTCAGACATGATGGAAATGACTCAACAAAAAAGGCTAGTGTTCTTTTCACGTCAAACTTCTCTGTTCATGCCTCCAAAACGCTAATAGCAGTAGGAACTACTATTTGGAGGCCTTAGCAGGAACTACGGAAAAATCTAATCCACTGGGATCAGGTCATCTCAGCAAACACTATCTTCTCCACTTCTGCTGCCTGAGAACACTAGGGACCTCTCCTAGTAGACTAGGCACAGCCCCCACAGAACCAGCATCTGCCTCCTGAGACCCAAGCAGGTAGGGTCCCCTCAGGCTGAGTCTTTCCTGACCCAGCAGCTGTGGCATGTAGTGGGTGTGGCTATGGATCTTCCCGGACCTGCTGGAGTGGCTTTACAGCAAGGCTGAAAATTACCTTTCATAACAATAGTAATGATAGAGATGATCTCATACTGATCTTCAAAGCATTCAGGGTGGAGTAGGCCTCAGGGGAAAAACTGAACCCCACATGCAGCAGATAGACAAGAGTGATATCAACCCAGGAGTCCCCAGCACTGTTGCTACCAGGGCCTGCACCATGTCCTTTCCCCCTCAGGATACCCCTTTCCTAAGTTCAGATCTTTCTCTCTTCCTTACCCAAAATCCAACTGGGATGGTGTAAGGTACACATGAAGGGCCTCCCTGAGTTTTCTATCTTCCTTTCTCCTTCTCTCGGTTTAGGCATTTGCTTTTGGCCATGCTCACTCTGTGTCCTCAGGCCCGCTAGTCACACTGGCCCCGAGAGCAGCTAGTACAGTTGTTGTGACTGCAGGGCTGTTGTTGCACGAGGCTGTCCCTGTCCAGAAACACAGGCCCTGCAGATGCCCCTACCACATCCCGCCTCCGCTCTTGAACTCCCAGGAGACACTGGCAGGTCCACGGACCCCACGGGCCCAGTGGCAATTCTTCTGGCTCTGGGGGAAGAAAAGACTGGTCAGCCAGGGAGCCTGAGCTTTGGCAGGGTTTTCTCTCCCACCCAAAACTTCCAGGATTAAAAGGGCTACTTCCCAATATGCCAAGACCCTTAACGATAGTTGTTGAATTGAGTAATAAGACACAGGGAGGAATCCGGGCAGATTTCATTGTGTATGTGTGTGGGGGGGAGGGATTGTAAATCTTCGCTAAATGACAGAGGGAGGTGGGGTGCACTGTACAAGTGCCTCTGATCTTCTTTGGGTGTAAACCTGAGCTACACTCTGCACCCTCCCCGAGCCCGCTCCACCAACTGAAGTCTCCTTCAGTTCACAGATGTATAACATCTGGGGAGGTGAAGTCTGGAGGCTCTGGGGGTCGAGGGACTCTCAACCCCTTACCCAGTTCTCTCTCCCAAGAATCTCCGGAGCCGTGCTCTCCAAAATAGTGATAGTCTGGGCCTAGGCAGGTTGGGGGCCGGGCCAGAAGGAAGAGCAGGAGCAACCTCAGCTGCAGTCTGGCCATCCACGGCCACTGGCTCCTCTCTTCAGTAGCCCCCTTAACCGCTGTTAGTGCCTGGTCCAAACATTCTCCCGGAGCTCCGTTATCTGAGCTGCTAGTCAGAAGGGTCAGGAGAGAGGAGGAGACAAGGGGAATGGAAGAGGTCAGTGGCCCCCGCCCCTTCAGCTTCGGAGTATTCTGGCTTCTCGACCCCACCCCACACCCCCTACGACGCATCAGTAGGCCCGCCTTGGCGTGTCGCGTCCGCCCCCAGGCGCGCTCCCATACGTCCCACCCAACTCCTCCTCCTCTTCTTACCCCCGCCCCCCCTCTCCCCCACGGTCTGGCTTTAGGTGGTACAGGCCGCGGATAAAAGGCGCGGGTGAAGGCCACTTGCATCCCGCTTTTGGTTTCCGGACTGTTGCTGTTGCGGTCTGGGAGCACGCGTTGCCTGTCTTTGTAGGCTTGGAGCCCGCCCTCCTTGCAGGTACAGTACGGTGCAGTGCGGCACGATGCGGTAAGGTACAATAGGATACAGCTCAACCCGGGCAGGTCCAGATCTAGGCTAGGGGAGTGGGAAACAACGGAGGCAGCCTGCGACTCCCCTTTTTCCAGGCAGATTGTGTTCTATCCTGGTCCACTATTCTCCCGGTTCTTCCCTCTGCACAGAGCAAGAAACCCCGCCCCCCTCTCCTGATCCCTGCCTTTGTTCGTTGTGAGAGATTAGGAACTGATCCCAGGTGAATTCTCCTCCACCTGTTCCCCACTCAGCAGAGAAGCTGGGCCTTGAGAAGAATCTAGGCATCTCTTTGTTCCTGCTCTAGAGGCCTAATTCAGCTTGAATCTAGGTTCTGGGAAGAGGTGGAAGAGCCTGCAGCCTGTGCCCGGGTGCCCGGACCTGTTTCCCTGGTGGGGTGGTGGCATCGTGGAGGAGGCAGGAGAGCTGGGTCTGAATTGCCCCTTTCCCTCTGGGGCTAATCTAGTCTGGCCCGTGTGCCAAAGTCTCTGTGTTCGACCCATGGAGGGAGGGATGGGGGGGGCGCTGCATGTGACCATCTTTGTCTGACCCACGTGCCTAGTCTTGGGAAGTGTGGGGGGAGGGGAGGTGGTGCTGGGTTGCACAGCCGGAGGAAATAAGGATCAGGTGCCCTGGTTGACCCTAAGGGGAAAATCCTTTCTTCCAGTCATGTCCTCTGGAAATGCTCACATTGGAAAACCGGCCCCTGACTTCCATGCCACTGCTGTGATCGATGGGGCTTTCAAGGAGGTGAAGCTGTCGGACTATAAAGGTGAGATAATAGCCTTAGAGGTCAGGGATACTGGGACCTTCCCGTTTTCTGAAAGATGGAAGTCAGGGTGTGAGGAGATGATCCTGTCTCCTGGAGAGTGGTGGGGGAAGGGGCCCTAGCACCTGTTCCTCACTCCTTTTGTTATTATTGCTCTAGGGAAGTATCTGGTCATATTTTTCTATCCACTGGACTTCACCTTTGTATGCCCTACCGAGATCATCGCCTTCAGTGATCGGGTGTCTGATTTCCATCAGCTGGGCTGCGAGGTCCTTGGTGTATCTGTGGATTCCCAGTTCACTCACTTGGCCTGGTATGATTCTGGCTAGGAGGAGGAGGAGGAGGGGAAGGAACCCTGCCCTCTCTGACTTTCTGCTTCTCCCACCATCCACAGTGAGCACTGTAAGGGTCACTGGCTGGTGCCTCCTTTTCTTTGCTATGGAATATCTTGTAACTACTCTTGAATTGGGACAAAAGGGTTCCCAAAGCTGGGTTGCCAGGGTCTCTTTGTGGTAATTAGAACTGGAAGGGACTTTGGAAGACATTTCATTTAGCCCCCATCATGTTAAAAAAGAAGAGAAAAAAAAAACCCAGACCTAGAAAGGTTAAGAACAATGGCTACTGATTCACCAAGTAGGAGAGGTGGTATTTGAACTCAGGTCTTCAGACTCTTGGTATAGTTGTTGATTGTTTCCACCATAGAAGGCAGTACTTTCTGTTCCATCTTCCTCAGAAATAGAGAACAGCATCCTACTCCTTCTGCCTTACCACTCCCTCCTGGGTGTGGTAGGTTTGGGCTTTGGCAGCCCTGCCAACAACTCCTTTATCACCTACTCTGGCCTCTTTGAGCTGCCCTTATCTACTGCTCAGGCCCATGGGGGAAGGGAAGGAGGAACCCCTGAACAAAGTTAAGAGGGCTCCTTTTT